AAAATCTGATATGAGCCTACATAATGGGGAGTAAGCTTCCCTTTCTTACCAAACCTCATTACACCCTTCATGGGTGAAATTTTCAAGTAAACCCAATCATGAACATAAAACTCAAGATCTCTTCTTCTTACATCGACATATAACTTTTGCCGACTTTGAGTCATTTTCAACCTTTCTCTAATAAGTCAAACTTTTTCTATGGCCTCACGTACCAATTCAGGACCTATTAGGGCAACTTCACCCACCTTAAACCATTTTATAGGAGATCTATACCTCCTACAATATAATGCCTCAAATGGAGACATATCAACACTCAAGTGATAGCTATTATTATAAACAAACTCAATCAATGGAAAATAGTCATGCCAATTACCCATAAAATCAATAACACAAGCTCTCAACATGTTTTCCAAAGTTTGGATAGTACGCTCCGCTTGCCCATTTATTTCGGGGTGAAAGGTCGTACTAAACTTAACTCGAGTACCTAAATCCTTTTAGAAATGCTTCCAAAACTGAGAATTCAATTGGGTACCACGATCAGAAATAATGGACAAAGCTACTCCATACAACTTTACCATTTCTCTGCAGTACAACTTAGCATAATCCTCCGTCGAATAGGAAACCTTTGACAGGAATAAAATGATCTGATTTTGTCATCCAATCTACTATAACCCAAATTGAATCATGTTGTCGCTGGGTGCGAGGCAAACCAACAATAAAGTCCATGTTCAAATCTTCCCACTTCCAAGTAGCAATGTTATTGTCTTGGGATAAACCTCCCAGTTTCTGATGATCAACTTTCACTTGTTGACAATTAGGACACTTAGTGACAAATTCTGCAATATATTTCTTCATCCCATTCCACCAATAGACTTCTCGTAAATCACGGGACATCTTGGTGGTTCCCGGGTGAATGGAATACCGAGAATTATGGGCTTCTGACATGAGTTGTTCCCTTAAGTCATCAACATTTAGAACACACAAACGACCTTGATATCTAAGTACACCATCTCCCCCTTGGGAGAATTCATCAACGGATTTCTTAAGCACCTCTTCTTTTAAGTCGACCAAAATTGGATCAAGATCTTGCTTGGCTTTCATATCCGCCACAAAAAAATGATTTTGAGTCGTTGTGAACCATAACACCACCCTTGGTGGAATCGAGTAACTGAACACCTAATCGGGTCAATCTATGAGCGTCTCAAACCAACTCTTTCTTACCTTCTTCAATATGAGCAACACTACCCATGTATAACTCACTAAGAGCATTTGCAACCACATTTACCTTATTGGGATGATAGAGAACACTCATATCATAATCCTTCAATAACTCAAGCCACCTTCTTTGGCAAACATTTAGATCCTTCTAATTAAATACATATTGCAAACTCTTGTGGTCAGTAAACATATCTACACGAACACCACATAAATAATGCCTCCAAATAATTAAGGCAAAAACAACTGCCGCTAATTCAAGGTCATGGGTAGGATAATTCTTTTCTTGAATCTTAAGCTACCTTGAGACATAGGCAATAACTTTCCCATTTTGCATAAGCACACACCCTAGCCAAATTCTCGAGGCATCATAATAAACAACAAAACCAGCAGTCTCTTCCGGTAAAGTCAACACCAGAGCGAAAGTAAATCTATCATTCCACTCTTGGAAACTCTTCTCACACGCTTCGGACATTATGAACTTAGCCTTCTTTTGAGTCAAAGCCGTGAAAGGAGAGAAAATTGAAGAGAACCTCTCAACAAACCTCCTATACTAACCGGCTAAACCCAAGAAATTTCTAATATCTGAATGGGATAGAGGTCTAGGACAAATCTTGACAGCATCCGTCTTCTAAGGATCTATTTTAATGCCATTACTTAAAACAATGTAACCAAGAAAAGGTACCGACCATAAGCAAAACTCACATTTGCTAAACTTAACAAAGAGTTGTTGGTCCGTAAGAATTTGCAATGTGATCCTTAAATGATCAATATTTTCATTCTCACTTCTCGACAGTTCAATATATCATCAGTGAACACATTCAAAAATATGTCGAGGTATTGTCTAAACACTCTATTCATCAAATCTATAAACGCCGTCGGAGCATTGATGAGTCCGAGATTTGCCCTCATTTAGGGATTTGTTTTGATAGTGTCAGAGTTTTCAAATGCCTAATTAATGCTCTAAACTAATGACAAAGTGTTGATTTGCCACATCTAAGGCTAAGGAGCAAGGCAAGGATACTACCGGACAAAAAGGAACAAACAAGCCAAAGGAGTGGAGAAGAGCGATCCTGGAGATCGCCAAGACCCGCCGAGTGTCCCATCAGCCCCTCTCGCCCCAATTTTACGGTGCAACAAGTATGAGATGAGAGAAATTTAGGCGAATTGTGTTCAATATCAGCGAGTTGCTGAATGGATCTGAGAAGAAAGGTTGTACCGCCGAAAGTACTAAATTAGCAGTGAAGCACAAGAAAATTTTTTATCCAAAGGAACAAAAGGGCGCATCATGGAAGTGATCGGTGATCCCGATATAGACCGCCTAAAGTTACAGTGCATATTGGATAAAAACATGAAGCAAGAAGGCGATGGACAGGGGCGATTGGCGAATCACCGACCGGTCGGCGAAGCCTGACTATCCTTGCCAATTGGCCCAAAAAGGGTAAATCTTTGATCAATATAAATTGATATTTGAAAGAGAGAAGGTATCCAAACATTGTGGAAATAGAGATTTAGAACAAAAAAACCCATTCTTTTTAGTATTGAAGAATTTTTCAAGTAGATTTCGAAGTTGGTATTGCAATTTAAGGAAGATTTGTTCATTTTTAGATTGTGGAAATCAATACCCATTTATAGAGCATGTAATAGGTATAGAATTTTTAGTTTTTATGATGACTAGCTAAAGACCTATTCTTGGGGGTTTGACCATGAGATCAATTTTGTAATTTAGTTAAGTGGGTGTTAGAAATTATTGATTATAGTGCTAATTCAAAGTGGTCTGATTTATTGTTGCTATTGGATTGCTATATTGAATGCTTATTTCATTACAATTTAGTGTTTTATGCTTTCTCGAGAGCGGGGTGTGAAACCAAGGCAATAAATTAATATTTGTAGCAACTGCTCTATTATGGGTTCAGCTCGAGAGAGTGAACCCTAAGTTCCATTCTACCTATCTCGCTTGAGAGAGTGAATGTAGTGAGGGTGTGGGCTGATTTTCATAGTTAGCCTATTGAGGTTCGAAAGAACTCAATTGAAGCAAGGTAATTGTTCAAGAGAAAATTATCTCATCTAAGGCCTATCCTACCCATGAAGACTTAGTAACTATTATTAATCACCTAGCACCCATTTAACAAGAATTTGGCAATTGGTTGGTCTTTCTTCCATGTACCTCTTACTCATTTGATTAATCTTATTGATTATTATTGTTGTGCTTACTGATTGACATACAAATCCCTCTCCTGACATTTTATATCAACCTCTTGATTTAATTAAAAATTTCCGATAACTTCTATTCCTACAATCATTTAAATCGCATTTACAACTTCATATTTGAATTCAAACTTGTATCGCTCCATGTGTGTTCGACCCCAACTCAATTGTTGAGTTTTATACAAGTTAACGATCGTTTACACCTAAAATTGGATGAGGTGTATTTGAAATGTTCATCAAAATGGCGCCGCTGTTGGGGAGTGGATTTTTTTAGAATTCTCTTATCGACGTTTAAATTTTGATCTCTTTGGTTGTACTTGAATTGATTTAATTTGTTTTGTGTTTGTGTTGTTTGTGTTGAACAGAAGAAGATATGAGTGTTAACGAGAGTATTAGTAGCCAAGTAGGCCACCAATATGATATTGACAATCTTAATAATGTGAATGATCCAATAGAATTGGGTGGATCTGGTGTAATTCATCTACCTTCAATCGAAGGGAATGCTAACTTTCATGTATCTATCACAACGCTCCAGCTCCTCCAAATGAAAGGTCTATATGGAGGATTGACTCACAAAAACCCACATGAGCATATTCAGAATTTCGTAGACGTTCGTTGCTCATTCTCATTCAAGAACATCTCACAAGAATCAGTCAGCCTCATGTTGTTTCCATTCTCTTTGATGGGTAAAGCTAGAAAATGGTTGGCTGAGTTACCAAGGAATTCCATTACCTCTTAGGTTGAGCTTACCACGGCGTTCAATGTGAGATTATTTACCCCATCTAGAATGATGATACTCAGAGACAACATCCAGGGTTTCAAATGCTTGGAAGGTTAGCCAATCCACGAGACGTGGTTGAGGTTTAAGAAATTGGTACTTCAATGCCCAACTCATGGACTTCCAAGAACTGTGCTGCTATAGTACTTCTACAAAAGTCTTGACTCGGTGAAAAAAGGAGTGGCTGACCAATTGGTTCGAGGAGGAATAATGTTGCAATCATTTGAGGTAGCATCGTACATTCTTGATGAAATGACAAAGATAAACAAAGTGTGGTACACTTAAGAAGACAGAGTTTCTCTTTTTTGTTTTAGGATGACGCAAGAATAGCTTGACAAGGAGAAAGAAAGGGATGATATTATTAGCAAAATGTTGTCCCAAATGGAAATACTACAAAAACAAGTGCTAGAGAATGTGGGTGAACCCAAAGAAGCAAGAGGAGTGTTTATAGTTGAGGTGGGTTCTCACTCGTGCTACTCAAAGCGGGAGGGAATCAATGTTGGAACTTCACAAGGTTGAGGAGGGTTTCCACCCATGCTACTTAAAGAAGGGTGGGAATCAAGGTTGGAACTCTCATAAAGAAGAAGAACGGATGCGACACTATCGAGAATGGGCCGAACAAAATGATCATTGGAGAATAGAAGATATTCATGAAGAGGACCACACACAATCGAGTGATAGACCAAAATCAAAAGGTAGTTCGAGTAGTCTACGAGTGGATGATTTGTTGTCTCGCATCCTAGACAAATTTGAGGGTAAAGATGACCTACTAAAAGAGATGAAAGTTGATTTCTCGTAAATGAATAATAGAGTGAATTCTCATGCTAATGCAATCAAGCAACTTGAGGGCCAGTCAAGTAAACTTTCAGCACAATTGGAACCCAAAGTAATTGAAAATGGTGAAGCTGTATACACAACAACTGTAAGGGTTGATGATGATAAAAATTTGGTTGTGGTGACTCGAAGTGGAAAGGTAGTGGTTGTTACTATGAAGGGTAATGATGAGGTACAAGCTCATGAAGAAGAGAATCCCATTCAAGCACCAGAGAGTCATAAGCTAAGCCACGATGAAAATTTGCAAAAAGCTAAAGAAAAGGCTACTTCAATCCCAAAGATAGTGCAATCTCTTCCCAAAATAGGTCCCCTATTTCCTTATCGTCTCAAGAAGAAAAATGAAGATGAGAAGTTCAAGAAGTTCCTATCCATGTTAAAGACAGTCTCTATAAATCTGCCATTAGTGGAAGCATTGTTGGAAATGTCGGGTTATGCCAAATTCATGAAGGAGTTAGTCACCAAGAATAGAAGCATGGATTTTGAGACAATAGAAATTTCACATAATTGTAGTGCCATTATGACTAGCAAGATGATTATAAAGAAGGAAGAGCCGGAAGCATTCCCCATTCCATGCACTATAGGTATGCTTGAATTTTCTAAAGCTCTATGTGATTTGGGGGCAAGTATAAATCTAATGCCCTATGCAATCAATAAGCAACTTGGGCTGGGCAAACCAAAATCCACAACAATGCAACTTCTTATGGCGGACCAGTCGATCAAACACCCCGTTGGGATACTCTATGATATATTAGTGAAGGTTGATGGATTCATCTTTTCGGCTGATTTTTTTATTCTTGATTGTGAGATTTATGCTGAAATTCCCATTATTCTGGGAAGACCATTTTTAGCAACCGAGAGAGCACTAGTGGATGTTGAAAGCGGAGAATTGAAGTTCCAGGTGAATGAAGATCAGGTCACCTTTAATGTATGCAAGTCAATGAAACACCCATGTGATATTCATGTCGTTTAAACAATTGATGTAATTGATGAAGCGGTGGCTAGTGTGAGCTATTTGATGTGTATGAGTGTAACTCTTAAGGTTGTTTTTGCAAACTATGATGAGCCCGAAGTTCAAGATTATGATGAAGTGGTAGCCGCTCTTTTAGGATTAGGAGAATACTCAAGGAACCCATTGGAGCCAGATATCGATCTAGAGAATTAAGAAAATCCTCCAGCCAAACCATCAACGGAGGAACCACTAAATCTTGAGATGAAAGTATTACCTGCTCCTCGTCGATATTCATTTTTGGGGGCAAATAACACCTTACCCGTTATCATTGCAATTGATTTGCTTGAATGGCAAGTAAAATTACTTCTTGAGGTGTTGGGAAGGTACATCAAAGCTATTGGGTGGACTATCGCTAACATTGTGGGCATTCCACTCGACATTTGCACTGACAAGATTCAACTTGATAATGAGTGCAAGCCGAGTGTCGCATATCAAAGGATATTGAACCCACCGATGCCAGAGGTGGTGAAAAAGGAGAAAATAAAATGGTTGGATGCAACTGTGATCCACCCCATTACGGATAGCAAATAGGTGAGTCTGGTGCAATGTGTACCCAAAAAGGGTGGTATCACGTAGTCCCAAATGAGAAAGGGGAACTAGTTTCTATGATATCGATAACTGGATTGAGGGTATGAATGGATTATCGGAAGCTAAATTCATGGACAGAAAAAAATCACTTTACCATGCCCTTCATGGATCAAATGCTTGATCGACTTTCAGAGCGTGGATGGTATTGCTTTTAGGATGGTTATTCTTGGTATAATCAAATCTCTATTGACTGGAGGATCAAGAGAAAACCACTTTCACTTTCCCCTATGGTACTTTTGGTTTCCAAAGTATGTCGTTCGGATTGTGTAATGATCCAGCGACGTTGCAACATTGCATGTTGTCTATTTTTGCTGACATGGTAGAGGATTCAATGGAAGTCATCATGGATGACTTCTCAGTTGTGGGTAATTCTTTTGAAACATGTTCGGTACAATTGGGGTGGTCATCGTAGCGGTGTCCGAACAGTCTTTAAAATTCTCCAAAGTGGTTACTAGTGGCCGTCCCTCTACAAAGATGCCCATGAATTTGTCAAGAAATGCATACAATGCCAAAAACAAAGTGGAGTGTCACGAAGGTATGAGTTGCCTCTTCAATCGATTCTGGAGGTTGAGTTATCCGATGTTTGGGAAATAGATTTTATGGGGCTATTTGTGAGCTCGTTTAGTAACAACTATATTTTGGTGGCTATGGATTATGTTTCTAAATGGGTTGAAGCGGTAGCACTACCTATCAATGAAGGGAAGAGTGTTGTCCACTTTCTAAAGTGCTACATCTTTGCAAGATTTGGCACCCCTCGGGCTATCATAAGTGATGGAGGTTCACATTTTTACAACCGGCTGTTTGCATCCGCATTGAGTAAATTTGGAGTGAACATAAAGTGGCAACGCCTTATCATCCCAAAAAAAGTGGCCAAGTTGAGGATTTGAATCGGGAGATTAACAGTATTTTGTCTAAGACAGTGAATTAAAATAGAACTGACTCATCTCGAAAGCTAGATGATTCTCTTTGGGCATATCGCACCGCGTACAAGACACCAATTGGCATGTTCCCATATCAACTGGTTTTTGGGAAGTCTTGTATCCTACCGATTGAACTTGAACACAAAGCACTATGGACACTAAAGGCATTAAACCTGGATTGGGAAAATGGTTCAAAAGGGAGAGTAGATCAGCTACACGAAATGGAAGAATTGAGGTTTAGAGCATATAAAAGTTCAGCTCTTTACAAGGAAAAAATGAAACATGGCATGATTCTAAAATCATTAGAAGAAAATTTTGGGTTGGAGACTTTGTGTTGCTATACAATTCTCAATTGAGACTCTTCCCGGGAAAGCTAAAGTTAAAATGGTCCGTCCCTTTTAAAGTGACATGCATATTTCAGAATGGGGCCATTGCGGTCGAAGGTGAAGAGAGTCCAGCCTTCAAGGTAAATGGGCAACTCTTAAAGTTGTATTTTGGAGAATGTCATGAGATTGATTGATCGAAGTGGTGTATTTGGAAGATTCTTGAAAGCATTTAAACCTCGTGCCACGACATTACATAAGGCACTTCTCGGGAGGCAACCCAAGTGTTAGCGGTTTTGAATGATGTGTGTGCTGAATGTGCAGGTATGGGTGATTCGGCAACACTAGGACCATTTTGCTAAAATGCCGAGTGTATTTGGCGATCGTGACTTTGATTGCTTTTGTGGCATCAAAGGAGAGCTGAGATACTGGAATATCTAGAGATGTATGTAGACCATTCAGCGGTACAGTAAACAGATTGGGCAATCCCGACTTTCTCCGCCTTTTGTACCTTCTTGTAGGGTCGGAGTTTTAGAGATTTCGGCAATGTACACGCCCACTAGGCGATGCGCCAAAGAGACCCGACGTACCCGAACTCGATCGCCTTTTAGCCCAAATTAGAGCAGCAGCAGTCTACATATTTAGGCGACTACATGCAGTTCAACTGTTCACTTATCAATTCGGCGACATCTATAACCTTTCGCGAAATGGTCACCGAGTGAAGATTCCTTCTAACCCCACTCTGTTTTCTTAGCATCAACACTTTTTGTTTCTATTTTAATTTTATTGTGTTTTGTTTAGCGTGAGTTGTGTTTGTTCTTTGATCACATTAAGTACAATGTTGGTTGCTTTTGGTGGGGTGGTGGCTTGTTATTCTCTTGCATGTTCAAGTGTCGGTTATGGTCAATGCCGATAACTTAAATAGTGCTCTTAATTAAACATAATGAATGTGCGGCTACAATGAGGCAAACAAAGTTACATAGGCAATATCTGAACTTTTAGGATCTTGTTGTGACTAGCCAGTTATCTAATGAGTCCTTTGTGTTGAACATTGCACTCTAGCTAGAAAGTGTGGAGTCTTGTTTGATATTGGAACCAATGCCTTGTGTGATGAGATTACTTTGAACACTGTGTATGATGACACCTAGAATTTGCCCCGTTAGTCAGGTTGATTGAGTGATGCAAACACTTGAAATGACCTTAGGCAAGAATTTTGAAGAGTGAATCAACTTGTCAATATACCTCTTTTGTGGCAAACCTTGGGAGATGTGTGAACCTTTCTTGGCACCTTTTGAGCCTTACCCCTTTTTTTGGAAGAAACTTGAGAAATTGTGACCTCTCTTTATCCATTCACCCATAACGTTCATCAAGTATGGTTTGTTTGAATAGCCAACTTAGGCCAAAAGCCTAAATTGGGGGTGTGGTGAAAAGAGAAGGAAAGTCAAGAAGTGTGAGAAATCCCCCTTTGTGTGGTTGCTTCGAAAAAGATGGAACCTGATTAACGTATTAAGGCATTTCATTCAATCCTAAATGCCAATGATCATTCGTCTATATAATAACCCAACTACATGAGTTGGGGTCGATCCCAACAAGGAGTAGTTCTTCCTTCAAATTCAATAATAAAAGTACAATGGCAACCTCTTCAATCAAAAAATTCTTGCACAATTAATTTTCAAATCTCAAATTTCGGGTTTTAACTACCTATCCAAATTTACACTACAACACAAACAATCAAGTATTAGAATAAAGCTTGGGGAATTGATAAGTAAATTATTGAATCTCAACGAAGTGGATAAACGTTACTGCTCATAATGGGTCATTTGTTGTGGGTAGGTCAAACCATATATAAAGTAACTTTCTCTCGTACAATTACCTTTTCTATGTTGAATTCTCTCGAACTTTAACACCAATCGAAAGAGGCCAAGCTCTTTACCCTCATCAAACTTACTCTCTCGAGCTGAATACAAAGGATCACTTGTTTCACTCTCTCGAGCTGAAACCAAGGAAACCCATTACTAAGGATGCTAAGAATGCCAACTTGGTTCCACACCTCTCTCTTGAGCAAGTGCACAACACTGAAATTGATACACAAAGTTGCGCAATTCAACCTCGAAACACAGCAACAACTTAGACCCACTTCAAATTAACACCATTCTTCACAACTAACAAACACCCACTAAGTAATTCAACAATTGGCTTCATGATCAAAACCCCAAGTAAAGGGTTTTAGCCACTCATCTCAAAAATAAGAAAATCAAAATCAATTATCACTCCCATAGTTGGGTACAAAATGAGAATTATAGATGAAAATCATTTGATAATCTCCTCTCTTACAATATCTCTCTCAAAATCTTGCTAAAATCACTAACTAAACCCTTTAGTAGTGTTTTCTCTCGAAGTAATTCCTTCCTCACGTTCTAAATGAATTTCTCTCTCTATCCAAAACTAATTTAAACAAGTCTGAAGTGTCACTGCTTATGACCACTCGGCGAAGTAAGTCGGGTGTCGCTGACAGATCGGTGAATCGCCAATTTTTCTTTATCTCGCCTTCATTTTTTGCTTTTTCTTGGTCTGGATACTATACCTTTAGGATCTCTAGGTAGGGATCGCCGAATGACGCCGTCATTCCCCCTTTGTCTTTCCATCTCGTCCATCGACACTTGCTTGAATCTTCTTCAGCACTTTTGGTGACCTGGTTGTCCTTCACCGACTAGATCGGCGATACGTTGAATACAGTTGTTGCTTGCCAAATTCACCCCGATTTTAGCTCCGACATTCTGTAATTTTAGGTGGTATCTTGGCAATTTGGCGATTCACCGAATGACATTGGCGATTTGGCGATTCGCCGAAAGACTTCATCGATCATTATGTCTTCATTTCTTTAGCTTGATTTGTTCCTTTTTTTTATCAATAGTGTCCATGCATCATTCCTAATTCCAAATATTTGCAATTCAAGGCTTTACATCATTCATTGACACAGAACATGCATTTGAGGACACTAATTCTGTTAAAATAAAGTCGTAAATGAGTCCAAATTGTGGACTCATCAACACCCCCAACTTAAACTTTTGCTTGTCCTCAAGTAAAACTCAAGTTCAGTGGTTCAAAAAGGATGTCTCAAACAGTGCTACACAAGACTCAATCATGAATGCACAAAAAGACTCAACTTACTCATGCAAGGATCAATTGTGCACTCAAAGATTCAAGTTGTGACTCACCATTATCAAAGAATCTCAACGTCACTATACTTGCTTCAAATGGAAGTTCAAACTCAACAAAGGTATTCAAATCCCCTCACACAGAGAATGATTCCATATTCACA